ACGTTTAATGTGCCTGCCACGGTGCCTCTTGCTTCTGCTACAGTGCCCTTCGCTCCCGATACAGCTCCTGCTCCTGCTACAGTGAATCCTGTTTCTGCTACTGCTTCTGCTTCAGTGCCTCTTTTTCCTGCTGCAGTGCCTCCTGCTCCTGCTACAGCTGCCTATAATAACCCCCATCCTCCTGTCTTCCATACTCCTCTCACGTCAGACTCTCTCACCTTCCCCTCGCTCCATCACCCCCCTCCTCTCCCTCCTCCGCCCACCCGTTTCTCCACTACTCGCCCATCTTTTCTTCGTCCTCTCCCTCCCTTGCAATCGCCAGGCATCACCATCATCAGCAGCAACAGAAACAGCATCACAAACAACAACAACAACAACAACAACAACAACAACAACAACAACAACAACAACAACAACGGCAGGTACTTCGACATGGCCCATGCACGAGTGGGCGCAGCAGCACCACAAGCAGAAGCAGCATCAACAACAACAGCAGGAGAAAAAGGATTCTCCTTTGCTGACAGTCTAAGGTCAGGTGTGCTGGAAGCACAGCAGCAGCTGCAACAGCAGCAGCCGCAGCAGCAGCAGGCGGTTCAGCCCTAGATCTTCAAGCATACCTATCATCACCAACAGCAGCAGCAACAGGAGCAACAGCAACAGCAACAGCAACAGCATCAGCACCATGAGCAGCAGCAGCAGCAACAACACCAGCACCAACAGCAGCAGCATCAACAACAACAGCAGCAACAGCAGCAGCACCACCACCAGCAGCTGCATCAACAACAGCAGCTGAACCAGCAACAAAGCCACCAGCAGCAACAGCAGCAGCAGCAGCAGCAGCAGCAGCAACAGAACCAACAGCAGCAACAACAGCAGCAGCAGCAAAAGCAGCAGCAACAACAGCATCAGCAGCAACAGCAACAGAACCAATAGCAGCAGCAACAGCAGCAGCAACCACCGCACCACCAACAACAGCACCACCAGCAGCACCATCAACCGCAGCAACAACAGCAGCAGCAACAGCTACACCAAAACCAGCAGCATTTACAACAGCACGCCCCCACGTCCCTTCTCTGCAATGAACAGCTACCATCACACGGGACTGCATGTGTAAGCAACCACACTGCAAATGTTATAGCTCAATTTACTGATGTAACACATCTCATTGCTGAAATTACATCTC